TATGTTTTGCAAAATTAGGTAGAAAGAAAAAATAATTGACTATTTTGCAATGAAAAATGGAGCTAACCTGTTTGCCCTTGATGGGTGAAGGTAAAATGTTGTGTTGTTGTATCTCTCTAGATTTGTCTTATAAACCACTTTTATTGTAGTGTGTAAAAATATTTTTGAAAGATGATTGTAACATTGTTGTGGATACCTTGTGGTTATGTAAACTAAGTCACATGACATGATGTAAATATACAGTATAAAGAAATAAGGAACTCAAATACTATGAAGGCAAGGTAGCTAATGTTTAGGGAATGCAGCATTGTAACCACCTGTGTGATGTGTTTAATTTAATTTAAATGATAACATTAGGCAGCTCTTAGAGCTTTTGAGATTCATATTTATTTATTATATGTATATGTATGTAGGGAAAACATTATATTTTCATCCTTATTTCCTTCCTTCTGCTCAACCTCCTTTCCCTATTTTCATTTTACCTACATTAGGGTGCCTCTGCCTTTCTTACATATTCTTTTAGCACTTTTTCGTGATATCGTTTTGCTGAATAAGCACTGACTTGTGTCAGAGATTCAATCTTTGAATATTAGACCTTCACTTGGTATGAAACACCTCCACCACATGCCTGCAATTTCAGCTTGATCTGACTTGCAAAGAGGAAGATTTTTATGGCGGCACCAATTCTAGACAGGGGTGATGTATGGAGGAATGACAAGAGACCCAGTGATGTTTTTCCATTTTTGGCCTTTCTGGGAAAAAAGAGGGCAAAGAAAAAGAGGAAGAGTCAAAAGCAGTGAGCTTAAGAGACATTGCGCTCATTTTTTGAAGCGTCTCATTGTGTCTGCTGAAGGCCAGGATTGTGTCTTGCCTCTCATTTGGCAGACGGGTTGTGTCACTGCCTCAACTTGCTCATTAAGTGCTGTTTGGTACAGCATTATCTTGATAAATGTCCCACTTACACCACAGAATAGGCTGATGAATCAGACACTGCATGGCAGTATACGGACAGTTCTTCTCACAGTCGGTGCGATTGCGGTGTGAGAGGTAGTAATGATCCATTGACAGGCTAAGAGAGAGGTCTGACAGGTTATTCCAGACACTATCAATCCAAAGAAGTTTAGAAGTGATGCAGGAAATGAATAACTTGGAGTTTAATCAAGGAGGTTTATGCACGTATATTAAACAGCAAGTGCTTTCAATATAGTGGGTAACAGCTGCCAAAGATCCCAGGGTGTTCCAGGAGACAACCAAAAGTTTCACTGTACAAGAAGAAGTTTCAACTTTATTTCATTTAAGCAAGAAGAAGCTAGTTTTACACATGAATATCAGTTATGAGGAGTACTATTCAGCCTGTTTTGTCTTCTGGAGGGACCTTTCTAAAGACTGAGAAAGGAAAACTTCAGTTCGGGCCGGACAGAAAGTCTGCGCTACAAATTGGGAACGCTTGCACTGGTATAATGAAAGTTGTGATTACGTTGCAATATGGGAAGTGTAGGATCTAGCTTTTTTTGGAACTTGACTGAGATTAAAAGTCTGGATTTCTCAGCCTCTGCAGTAGTTTCTGATGATTAGTCTCCCAACTTAATGAAAATGTAATAATAAAATGCTGGAATACCTTTTTAATGTTTGGATTCATAGTGTTTGGTTCATTAATTTGAAATAATTGTTTTTAGGTCAACTGTACATTTACTCAGAAATTAGTTTGGGCTATCACTAAATGTTAAGAGAAGGAGAATTGGCTATATGTGCATTTTGAAAAAAAAAAATTGGGCTGAATTTACTACTTTGTCCTGGAAAAATTAAAAATTCTAAATTCATTAAGATTGAAGTTGTATTTAAGTTTAAATATAGACAGTGATGGCTCTATGAATATTGCCTGTGTTCAAAGTTTAGATCCTAAATAAAAGTAAAATTTAAAAAAATAATAATTCTTGAAATGAATGAAATGCTGAGGTATATAGGCCTACAGTGTATATATTTTTAAGTTTTCTTACACCCCTTAAAATCAAGAAGGCCTTGTGACCCACTGTGAAGCTTTGGCGACCCCTAGTGGGGGGTTGGGAACCACTGATATTATGGAGAATGTGTTTCATTTTGATGGACCTGTACCGAGTGTGCTTTACCAAAGTGACAAAAAATAAATCTTTCCGATAATTACCAATAATGATTAGTGAGTACTAATATGTTACCACGGCCACAGGACAAAATGTTATTAATTACATTAACTTTTATAAAAACCTTCACAGCATCAATATAGAAACTTTATGTAATGTCATTTAGATTATGCAACAACCCCATATATTGTACATTGAACCTACCACTGGTCTGCACACTTTTCCTCTAAACACATTTAACAACATAATACCACAACAAATCCAACATATCTGTTCACATGGAAAAGTGGAGCAGTCCACTGTGGAACCAGCACCCACTTCCACATGCAGCACCCTGCTCCACTGGTGCAAGGACACCACCTCCACCACCACTAGTGCTGCTGCTGTGTTGGACTTAACACGCTCATGCATCAAAACACTGGCTGTGCAGTGGTGAAACCGCCCTGCTACTACTACTAAACCTCAGCACAGCCTCGTCTGCTGTGCGAGGACACGGGCACATTTTTAATCATAAACCTGACCTCGCAAATCCGTTTGTAGTTCCGTAATGTGGGGCGGTCGTGCCACACATACCACTAATCCCTGGATCCTCACAGAAGGACCATGATTTCTGGGACGGTGGCGCCTGGGACCTGTTGGAAATGACAGCTACAGAAGGCGGACTGAAGCACAGGGATCACAACAACAGTAAACGTAGAAGATAGCGAAGAAACACTTCACTGTTTAAAGGGTGTGTGTGTGTGTCTGTCTGTGATATTTTACGGCTTTAGCCGAATAGCTAATGATTTCACTGTGATCCGCGACTCGCAAGCTAACGAGACCCCAGCTGAGTGCATGTGGGTGCAAGCCCGTGAGTGTGTGTGTGTGTATGTATAGATTTGAGTGTGAATAGTGTTTGTATGCGCGGATGTGTGTGTGTGTGTGTGCTCTTGGCTTCACTGTTCCCCACCTGTCATGTTAGCTAGCGTGCTAATTTGATAGAGCTAGTCGGCTAATATTGGCTAATAACAGAAATGAGCTGAGTATGGGCGAGGTAATGACGCCGACCTTATCACTCCGAGTCAAACGGTGTGCCAGCACGGTAGTACAGCACTCATGTGGCTCTATCCAACGCAGCCCAGGCTAATTAGTTATCTATTACGCAATATTTAATTAGCTAATGTTAACTGTCAGAAGGCAGCTTGGCTAATTTGCTCGGCTGTTAGCTTAGCAGCTAGAAGCGGAGAGCTTGCTCGCTAATTGACCTGGTTCGGAGGGGCAGAGGCCATGTTGTCATTCCACTCCACCGAACTTTGTTTACATTACAAGTTTTCAGCTTGCTACTTTTAGGGCACACTCATTTATGATTATTTGAACACGTAAACTATTACTCAAGTCCTTTTTTTTTTTAACTCCATGCTCTCATGATTAATGCAGTTCCCTTCCACTCAGTGGCAAATCCTTAGAGACCGTCGTCCTGCTGGGCCAACTATTCCGTCTCGTCTAACAGTTGAGGACATTTTAACCCGAACTAAAGGCACAACTCAACCAGTTTAACCCATTGGACCCATTTTAGGATACAAGCTTGACCAGAAGACATGTAAAACAAATATTACACCAGTATTATTGTTGAACGACCTGCCTGGTTTGCAGGTTTATTTGTGAAAGGCAGTGGTTCAGCTGTGATTCAAATATAACCACCGATGCAAAACAGCAAACACTGATTACATAAGAGGCACACACTTCCTCTCGTCACTTTGCTTGAAGATGATGAAGATGAAGGACATTTTTTTAATGATGGCTTTCAGTAGTACTGACCCAAGATACATTTTCTGCTATTAAAATGTAATGTTAGTTGTTCCTTGATGTGATATGTAACTCCAGGATTGCCCCACAAAGTCTCATGATTCACATGAGGCCTTCTAAAACAAGGCAAGCTTTATGCGGCATGGAAAACATGAAGGCTTAACGACAATAGTTCAGTCCAAACACACAGTAGGGTGTAAGATACAGCCTGAAAACAGATCATGTAACCCTGTGTTTTGTTTCTGTAACCCTCAAAACCCTCTAAAGTGGTTAGATTTGGCACTGTGACAGCACAACACAGGCTAACAACCTGTTCCTCTGTCCTCGTCCTCACCCTGCAGGGTTGTAGCGATGGAGTCCCTGATGAGTGCGGTGGCCCCGCGCTCCCCAGCCCCCGCCAAGAAGCCGTCAGAGGTGGACTTCAGGTCGGGGGCCACCCTGGATCAGCTGTCGGCCCAGGTGTCTGAGCTGGTACTACTGGAACAGGGAGAGTTTGGAGACCAGACCGCCTTAGAGGTCCACACTGCCAAGGACTTTATCTTCAACATGCTGGGTATGTCTGCAAGCAGAACACAGTGGACAATATGTCACAGATCAGCCCGAACATTTTCTTGTCTTCAGTCCTCAAACTGGTATTTCTTTCATTTATTATGGAGTGAGATAATGAGGAGGATGAGGGTGGGATGTTCATGTTGATCAATCATTGTGACACTGAATTTCTTCTGTTGCTGTTGAACATTTGGTGTTAGAATTAAAACCACTTTACTTACCAACTGTGGGAATATGTCACAGTGTATTTCCCATTGTAATTTTAATACACTGTAATTTAAATGCAGTATAAGCCTCTGGTGTAGTAATTATTAATTGCCTGGAGTTCAGTTAACTATTAATATACTTATCTACTTGGTGGAAGCTGTGTGCATATCACATTGCAGACACAGATCCTGTCTGTGTGTATTTGGGAGTATATATTTTCTGTGTGTGTGAGACAGCTGCTGTATAAATTTTCAATATTTTGGGGGTTGAAATGTTTTCAGCATGGTATTCCATATTAGATCCCGAAACGTGTGCTTTCCCCCGTTTTCTTAACACGGATGAAAGGAAACCACGTTTCTTCATCGCATGGTCTCGCCTCTGTCGCTGCTTATTTTTGTCACTGCCTTTTTCCTCAGAGTGCAGAAGTGTTTTTTACTGTATGTGGAAGGTACATTTTTATTTACCCAGGGTTGTCTCACTGAGAGCAATGAGTAGTCTTTCCTTAGGAACGCCCTGCTTAGACACTTTCTCACCTGGAAGCTGCCCAACCACAGCCTGAGCAGTTGGCTACCGAACTTGCCTTAACATGCAGAGAGCTGTGCTTGCACTCACAGTACATTTAAACTAGTACATCATGTTTCTTTGAATCATTTATACCACTGTCCGTGTGTTCAAACAGTTGCAGTGGTAGAGGGAACTTCAGTATGTGTCCAGTAGTAGATTTAGTGTATTGGGAGGCTTTCCCATTATACAGAAAGACTGCAGTGCATGAAAACATTATTATTTTCTGATTTATGCAGATTGATGCCAGAGGGAAGATAGAAACGAAAGGTCTAATGTTGATGAGTCCTCCTTCCTCTGCAGGCGCCTTCACATGCTTCTCCGTATTTCAAAGTAATATTATTTCATTTATTTCTCAGACCTTACTCTACTCTTTAGCTGCAATCTGTCCATACAAATGCGATGCCAAATTTAATTTAGGCGAAAAAAGGACAGAACTGCATTTGAATAGGATGTGACATGGTTCTCTCTTGCAGACCCATTTCATGACTCAGGTTGTGAGGCAGCATGTGTGACAAACCCGATCAGCACTGTAGACTTAGCCTGCATTCAAATGATGGGCCAGGTACAATATCTTCAATTTAATCCCCCGGCAGAACATTACCACATGGTTGGTTCTTTCAGCTCTTACATACAAAATCAGAGGCTTATAATTTGTGGCAGAGTGGATGTAATAATTCCAACTTGCACATTTGGAGTCTTTCAAATGCAAATGTGGTTCTAAATGATGTGTTTGAATTCAAGCACATCCAGTACGGGATTCATATATTCACTGCGCGTGTTGCTCTGCTCTCTCTGTCATCCACGCTTGCTGGCCTTCGTGCATGACCTGAACTACTGAGAGTTTGCTAAGTGAGACATGAAGCCGTCTCAGATGTATTGTTTTTGTTATCGTCGGTTGTGAGTCAAAAGTGAAGTGTGTTTGTTTGTCCAATAGGTGGCACCCTCCCCCCTCCCTGCTGTCCCTGAGCTCTCACGTACCAGTCTATCCATGTATTTTTGAAACAAAACAAAAAACATGTCAGGCCGGCAGCCCGAAAGTGGAGTCCAGTTGTTTTCTTGTTTATTGCTTGACTCGCTTCCGTGTTTTTATTGCCCAGTTTTACATTTCTGTGTCTCCTCTTGTCAGTCTGTAATAGTCATAGTCTCTGCTCAGCCCAGAATATGAAATTAGTAGTATTAAAATGGTTGACAGATAGCTCTTGTAGACTTTCAGAATAGCTTCATCAAACAGGCTGCAGCAACCAGGGAGAAGTCACACAAATCAAAATGGCACCCAGGCCTGTTTTTCTCATTCTGTTGTGTCACCACGTTCAGGCAGATATTCCCTTTTCTGCTTAAACTTTAAATCTTTTTTTTTTTTTAGCTGTTTCTCTGCCTTCTCCTCGGTTCGGGTTTCATATTTCATGATTCTGGTGCAAAGCCCTCTGCTTTCCCCTTTGTCTCCTCCCACTCTCCTTTGGTTGAGAATCTCTCGGTGACTCTTTTCAGTTTTTCTCTGGCATAATCACCAATGGTGTGCTGGTATTTTCATACCCTGTGCCTCACCGCCCGCTGCGACAGCTCCTCTGGCTCTGAAAAAGTTTGGCACTTTCAACCGAGGGGAGACGGGGCTTGTGTTGGATTCGAGGAATACAAAGTTAAGCGCGCGCGGTGGTAGCTGCATTAGGAGCTATGCCTCTCAAGGCCCTGCGGAGGATGAAAAGACAGCGCTGAAAAGCAAATATCATCCTTTTTATGAAGGGGCCATACAGCATGCCGGCCTGCTGGAGGAAGCTCGTCATAGCTGCCTAGGCGTGTGTGCCTGCGTGCATGTGTGCATGGATGCTGAGTAACTGTCTGTTTTTTTGCCAGGTTTTTATAAAGTTTGAGCCGCAGTGGGATCCCCACTGGGTTTTTTGCACACTGTCAGGGAAAAATGAAAAAGAAAAGAGATTAAACTGGCACACACACACTCACAAGTGCACCCAGTGAATTTCTTCACAGCCTGACAGATCCAAGAAGAGGCTCTTATTTACCCTGCGTTTGAGTAAACACTGTGGTTTGCCTCCAGGCAAGCGTGATGGGGGCTACTGTATATATCTTTTTGAAAAACAAAAGTCTGATGAAGGCAGAAGTAAATCCACTCTGCCGGTGAAGCGGAGGATCTGGTGCTAGGCCCAGACATACCCCGAACTCAGCCTTTCAGATCTTAAAGTTTGTTAGCCGGCTTAAGAGAGTTCACTTCAGAGATCGTCTCTCTCCCCCCCCCCCCAACCATGTCAGTGAGAATAGATTCTTTTGATCCCAATTTAAAAAGTCATGAGCGCTGTTCTGTCTCAGCACAGGTTTTGATATTTTTATCTGTGAGAGAAGAAAAATAACCTGTTGCACGTTGAGCTTTTGAAGAATTAAGTAATTGCCATGAAAAGAGATGCTCACAAGTTTGTCCCCATGCAGTGCACCAGATCTTCACTGTGTCCCACAGCGACCTCCACTTCTTTCCTCCCCCGTTGGGCGTCTTACATCAGCCCCTTTTGTTTTCCGCTATTCTTCACACTTAGGCCACTTAGCCTGATGCACATTTGGGCTTGAACAATGATGAAGTGGTGGCGCTTAGACAGTGAGAAGGGTGATCAGCACCTGAGTGTGTTTCCTCCAGTCAAGTCAGAAGTTCACCTTGAGCTGTGATGAAAAATGAAAAACAAAACCAAACCAAACAGCCTGTCTGTGTTTGTTTGTGTGTGATGAGTGATGTTGCATGAGTGCCTGAATATTTATCAGTCCCACCAGAGTCTCAAGATCTTTCTGTGATTGTTGTGACTGAATTTGCAGTTGGAAATACTGTTTCCAAACTTTTTTCCTTTCATATAATTATATAAGAATTCAGTGGTTATTAGACCTAACCATGAATTATTGCAGTTCCATTAGGAATAATGAATGGGTACATGTGATGTAAAGCGCTTTGAAGAGAAAGGTTATTACTTTAAAGTGCCAGCCCAATTTGCCATTAACCATATCATAACTAATTGAAATAAACTGCCTGAAAAATATAGCTATAGCTTTATTATCTCTGTGTGTATTAGGTAATTGTTGCAATGTTTCATATCAATGAGCAGGACTGCAGTCAGTTTTTATATTATTGTGATAAGGTATATAGGTATATATATATATATATAATCTCCTTCATGCATAAAAGTCAGTCAGAATGGAGCAGAGGGTGTTCTCTGTGCACTGTAGGCTTTAATATTAGGTGCATTTATCTGGCACAAAATTTTTCCTCCCAAATGTTCTACCCTTTCTAAGGCTGCACAAGCTTTTATGCGATGTGATGCATATTTTATTCTGGGGGGGTGAAAAAAATCCCTCCTGGTTAAATTTTAACAATCAGAGTGGCAGCCTGATCCCCTTCGGGAAAGCACCTCACTTAGCCGGCCACACTGGCTGGTCAGTCTCTCACTCCAGCACATTAACTCCGGTGGAGTGTGAGTGTGAGTGTGAGTGTGAGTGTGTCTGACTCGCAGCTGGATGCCGTGTCCACCACCGTGACTCCCTGCCTCATTGGAGGAGCCCTGCTCTGAGTTCAGTGGTGGTTTTCAGTGCAGGCTTGGGATCGCGGGCCCACATGGCTGCTCTGGCTCACTAATTCTCCGTTAATGCCATTTTAGATTTGACAGCATCTCTTCATGTGGCAGCCAGGCCAGCTCCACGGCCCCGGAACAGTAAATGACTGAAATATTTGTATTTGATTAGTTAGGCTTTGTTCCGTTTCAGACCCACCAGTGCCAAGCAGCACAGATGAGATGCATCTTGCCTGACATGAATGATGGTCATTGTTGCTCACTTTTTTTCTTTTAGCACTTAGCAGCATTAAATCCTAATTGTTGGAAAGCTGGCACATCGGTGTGAATGAATGCAATACACAATTTACTTGATGTTAATTTACCTCCGTTCACAACCTCTGTAAATAATACGCTGTGACAAATCAGCCAACAGCTGCGTGTGATTTAAACACAATAAAAAGTGGCCACGGACAGACATCACATCATTCATTAAGTGTCTTTCATGCTATCTAATTAAATAGGACTTCAGGGATGTGGCATGTTCAGTAAGCAGTGTTTTGACATCGCATGACATATTATCTACTGCGCTGCTCATTTTAATAACCAAGGCTGACACCGTGATTTCTGCTCTTTCATAATCATACTTCAAGCATTCCTGAGGCGAAGAAGGAGGAATCATTTGGGTTGCAGCTGT